GGGGTTCAAGTCCTCTCTGTGCTCTTTTGTGGGGTTCAAGTCCCCGAGGGGTTCAAGTCCTCTTTGTGTTGTTCAGTGGGGTCCAAGTCCTCTCTGTGCTGCCTTGGGAAAAGCTCTCCCACCTTGGAAAAAGCAGGTTTGRTACTTGCAGTGAGTTTTCCGGCCACTGCCTTGGGGAAATTGGTCCCCTGTGCTTTGGGGAAAAGCAGGTTTGATACCTGTGTTGAAGTTTGCAGCTTCTCTTTTGGGGAAGTTTTGTTCCCTGGGCCTTTGAAAAGCAGGTTTTGATACCTGCAGGGTGTAGTGTGCGTCCCAAGSAGTTAGTCTCTTTCTGTATGAGGTTCCAGTCCTCTTTGGTCTCAACCATAAGCACTTTGAATTTATTTTTTTGAATGCATGTGTTTGTGTGTATGCAAATTGCCTGAGTTAATTTGAGTTTTGCCTGCATGTAAAAGCTATGCGGGGACGCCCACAAGATAAAAGTAATTTGCTGAAAGGGTGTTGAAGTCCACACCTCAAAGAATAATTTGCCTTGCTAAAGACATTTGGAAGGCTGAATGTGAGCAACTGTTCTAAAGTAAATTATCAACAGGAAACACTTCAAGAGAAATTGATAAATTAACCAGTAACTAATTACTGCAGCTGTGCAGTATTTCCACGAAGGGATTAAAATACTCAGCTTCTCAAGTGCTAGTGCAAGTGGGTTGTTTTTTTGTTGAACCCGATCCCAATGTCAGCAAAACAGAACACAGGAAATGTACCAGTGATCTGCTGGTGCTTCGAGAGAGTCCTTCAAAGGTGATCATGGGAACTGCAAAACTGTCAGTGTGACTTCTATGCCAGGAAAATGAGACTAACTGATGTAAAAAGTAAAATCAATAGACACACAGATGAAGCTGATGCTCTGTAAAAGCATCAAATGGATTCTGTTAAAAGAGGTTATGCCTCACACCTCTATTGGCATCCTTTAAAGACATCAAAAAGCACACTGATATTATTTGTATGCTTGAATTTGGGATCAGTGTGTAACCTTAGATTGCAAGACTAAGCCTCTTCAGACCTTTACCCCCAAGGCAGTCTGGAGTGAACTATTTCTTCTCTTCACCTGGATTCAAGCAGAGCAGGAATTCACATGATGTATATAACCTAACCACTTTTATAGTAATCTTCACTCCTATAGAAATAGCAAAGTAGAGAAATAATGCACATAGCTCCCACAGTTTAAATCCCCATGGGTAACTGTATATAGTGTACTGAATTTTTAATAGCACATTATTCAGAGTATCACATAAATTGTTATTACTGATGTAATAAAACCTAAACCATCACAGCTGGAGAGACCAAGGCTGTAAATACACCACATATTTTTTTGTATTGTAGTAATATGAGCCAAATTATTTTAAAGTCTGCTGATTTTAGTTGAATTAGACAAACTCTGAATGTGTACCTCTACTCTAATTCACGTCCCTGGTCAAATGCCTTTGTCTAATTTATATTTCAATTTTCATACAGAAACTGCTGCATGGCACATAAAGGGCATTCTCTGTTTTTCGGATTGGTTTTTCTGCTGGGGAAGTCAAAGAAAAAAATGCAGGTGAGGAAGATCTGAACACACTGTAATTCAGCAGCCTAAGTTTTTTAGTACATAAACCCTATATTTCTTTAGTTCTGGTATTTTCTGATTACCCCTCTGTCTCTGCTGTAGTCCCTGGTGAAAAAAGTGCTGAAGATGGGAAATATTTGCAACATGCTGCTCAGGTTTAGCTGAGTCCACCTTGRAAGAGGGGCAGGGCACACAAGGGGGACCCCTCAAGATTTTGTTTCTTCTTCTCTGTGATCTCAGTGTCCAGATAAAACCTTTCTGTCCAGATCATGAATATGAGATCAAACCCACACCATATGTGCCTTAAACTTGTTGCCCATAATCTGTAAGGCCTGACATATGCATGTCTGTTAGGTTATGGTATGGGCAAGTCTTACTTTCTGAATGCATCCAGAAAGAGATTGTTTCAGTATATCATGTGCATAATGAAGAATTTTGCTTTGAAGGCATAGATCAATTTAGTACAGACAAATGCTTTATTTTAGCCAATTCCCTGCTCTTTCTTTCTGCATAGTCCCTTTTCTCAGATAGCTTTTCTATTAAAAACAAAAGACATCTGGGTAAATACATTAGTGCAGCATGAAGAAAACCTCAAGGTATATCCAGTGGACTTTGCAGGGATCTAAACGCTGTGTTTTCTTAACCTGATTGGGATATATCATCAAAACTTTTCAACTTTCTACAGGGCACAGGTTTCCTATAGCAACCCTGAGACTTGTTAAGGCTACTTGTAGGGCTGTGAAGAGAAGGAGATCTGAGCCTACCTGATAAAAGCAATGTAATATGAAAGCCAAAGATAATGACAGATTTGATTCTACTGACACAAAAGCAAAGTTGCGTGTTTGGCAAATAGATGAA